GCCCAGGGACCCCAGCCCGGTCCCTTCCACGGTGGAGCCCACTCGCACCCCCGCACCCCCGGGACACGGGTGCAGTGGACAAGGGTGGGCTTCCGGTCAGCCGGGCGGCCCGGCACACATCACTGCCCGACATGGCCCCTTCCCCAACTAGGACGGGAGCACTTTTCTGCCTGGCGAGCGGTGGAACGCCACTGCCCACTGGGCCCGCAGCACGCCTTCAAAGACCACATCGGCTCGAGAATATAAAGGAATGTCTGGTCAATCAGATATGGGCCTTGAGGGGGTCTAGCTTGACCAGAACTTCCTAAGAATGGGACTTTGGCAAGCCTGCCATTACTGCTTCACAGGCTGTGGCGGGCACTGCCCTCGCCTTGCCTCGCCTTGCTTCTCTGGGCACAAACATAAGTAGTGAGGGCAGAAACCTAACAGGAAGCCCACACTGCTTTTTCTGACTATGTGTGCGTAAGGGCCTCCCTGTGAACACTGCGGTAGAATTGAATGAGTGATTATGAAGCAGCGCACCGCCCCCCCCCACACACACACACACAGTCTCCTGAATGTGACTGCAAAACTCCTCCTATTAGGAAACCAAGTTGCCGCCCCCAACTACGGCCTCTAAGTTGCTCATGTGACATCCTTGAGCCAAATCAATGTGGCTGGTGTGTTGTTCTTGGTGTTAGGTGCCATCGAGTCGCTGCTGACTCCTAAGGATTCCATGTCCAACGGAAGGAAACACTGGGCCCTCCACGCTATTGCTCCTATGCTTGTGCCCATGATGGCAGTCGCTGCAGCAGTCGGAAAAGCCCATGCGTATAATCGCTGTTTGTGTTGTTGTTGAAAAAAGATATTTGCTATGAAGAAGTCCTTGATCTTGCAAAGTTCTCTCATGCCATCTCCAGCTTCTTTTTTATCTCTAATGTCATATTTTTCAACTACTGCTTGTTACTTTTGGTTTCCAACCTTGGATCCAATAACCGATAATTAACAGTGCATTTGATTGCATGTTTCATTAATTACTGTTTGAAGACATTGATAGCCTTATTCAATTTCTTTATCCCTAGCCTTGGTGGTGACATGGTTAAGAGTTGGCCGGTCATTGAAAGGTCAGCAGTTTGAAACTACCAGCCGCTCCTGGAGATAAAGACGGGCTTTCTTCTCTTGGCAAGAGATCCAGTCTTGTAAACACCCAGGGGCAGACCTACTCTGTCCCCTTGGGTCGCTAGGAGTCGGCATTGACTTGATGGGCAGTGAGAAGTGAGAGGTTTAGTGTTGGGTGCACAAATTTGAATACTAGCAGTATTGATAGGAATGCCTTCGATGCATATAAATAGAATCTTATCCCAGGCAGCATTGCATTTCAATATAGATCTT